GGGGATGTGGCGGAGTCCACCGGGAGGGTGGCACACGCGTGTGCAAGGACGGGGCGGTGTGGAGGGATGGGGTTGCACACGCGTGTGCGTGGACGGGGCTGTGTGCACGGGGAGGGTGGCACACGCGTGTGTGTGGACGGGGCGGTGTGGAGGGATGGGGTTGCACACGCGTGTGCATGCACAGGGAGGTGTGTGCAGGGATGGTGATGCACACGTGTGCGTGTGGACATGGCTGTGTGCAGGGAAGGGGTTGCACACGCGTGTGCATGTGCGGGGATGCGTGCTGGGGTTCACACAAGTGTGTACATGCACGTGGCTGTGTGCACGGATGGGTTTGCACACGCGTGTGCGTGCACATGGATGTGTGTGCAGGGACGGCATCGCACACGCGTGTGGAAGGACAGGGCGGTGTGGAGGGATGGGGTGGCACACGCGTGTGCGTGGACATGGCTGTGTGCACGGAGGTGGTCACACACGCGTGTGCGTGCGTGTGGATGTGTGCAGGGACAGGTTGTACACACGTGTGCATGCACAGGGAGGTGTGAGCAGGGATGGTGTGCACACGTGTGTGTGTGGACACGGCTGTGTGCTCGGAGATGGTTGCACACGTGTGTGTGCACATGGGGGTGTGCAGGGAAGGGGTTGCACACGCGTGTGTATGCACGTGTACGTGTGCTGGGAGAGGTTGTACACATGTGTGCGGGCACAGGGAGGTGTGTGCAGGGCTGGGGTTGCACACGCATGTGCGTGGACATGGCTGTGTGCATGGAAATGGTTGCACACGCGTGTGCATGAATGTGTAGGGGTGCAGGGGTGCAGACACGCGTGTGTGGTCATGGCTGTGTGCAAGGACAGGGTTGCACACGCGTGTGCAGGCGTGCTGGGATGCAGACACGTGTGTGGAGGACGTGGCTGTCTGCACGGAGAGGCTTGCACACGCGTGTGGGTGTGCACAGGGATGCAGACACACGTGTGCGTGTACATGGCTGTGAGGATATGGTTGCACACGCGTGTGCTTGCATGTGGATGTGCGCAGGGGTGCAGACACACGTGTTGACATGGCTGTTTGCACGGATGGGGTTGCACACGCGTGTGCATCCACATGGCTGTGTGCAGGGACAGGTTGTACACACGTGTGCGTGTACAGGGAGGTGTGAGCAGGGATGGGTGTGCACACGTGTGCCTGTGGACATGGCTGTGTGCACGGAGACGGTTGCACACGCGTGTGCTGGCATGTGATGGCATCGCACACGCGTGTGCGGGGATGCAGACACGCGTGTGTGGACATGGCTGTGTACAGGGATGGGGTTGCACACGCGTGCGTGTGTCAGGATGGGATGCACATGCGTGTGCCGGGAGGTGTGTGTGCAAGCAGGTGTGTGCAGCAGCCTCACGCACACGTGCGTGTCATTGCCCACCCGTACACGTGTGCACATACGTG